CCCCAGCCAGCATGGAGTTGAAGTCCACCCATCTTAAAGTTGCTGAGGTTGAGGAACCCTGGTCTAAGTTACCTGCAGTTAAGCACTGAATTAGAAAAATGAGCACAGTGCTTCTCCAATAGGCTAAAAGCTGCTATCTGGTTTTAAATTAGTTGTATTTCTGTGATCTATTTAGAGAGCTTTGTTGTTGTAGCACTTGTTGTTTTGATTAGTTGTTTTATTATTTTATTGGAGACTTTGTTTTGCTTTTATTGTACGTACATATTAGTTGCCCTAACAGTTGGTGCCTAAGAAATGTTGTAAATAAGCAATTACTACCTTCTGACAGATCCAAATGGGAACTGCTTCTTGTAAGGCACACCAGATACTTTAACCAGCATGAAAATAGGAATCGGAAACGCAAGTGAAAATTTACATATTGTAGAGAGGATGAAAATGGGTAAGAGATCCACATAGCTGCCTCCGGAAGGACAACTTTCAACTGTACTTTGCACAACTGTACAGCTGTTTTCAACTCGTTATTAGTGGTTGTGTTTGAATTGTGTTGTTTAGCTTTTTTTTTTAATTGTGTGCGCCGCTCAGAGTCACAGGCATGAGATGCGCAGCTATATAAATTCAATAAGTAAATAAATAAACTTAAAAGACCATGAAGCTAGGATAGCTTTATTGTTTTACTCGCATCATACTCATTTCAGTCAATGCTTGGAGTGTTTTTTTAAGCTTGATCATTAGCGCTTCATTCTGAAGAAGGTTCATCTGTGTGGTCCCCAACTTGACAGCACATAATCGAGTATCTTTTACTAGGCTGAAAGCATATCAAAATATGAAGAACCATAATGTAAATAACAAATATGTTTTATAGGAGAGTATCACCAATATAAATGTGCTGCTCTACTGGAATTTGAGGTTGGTGTCAGTTCAAATGTTGTGAAGGCACTGCTTGAGATCTCATGATGTCATTTAAAATACAATTGCCAAATTAGAAGGAATGCTCAAAACCACTGATATATTGGAATCCAGAAGAAACTGGCAAGTTATACCTGCCACAATCTCCTTATTTTATTATTTTTCAGTCTGGCCAAGAGTCTAGTCCCCAAGGATTTGTGATACTGAGTTATTACTGCTTCTTGATTGCAATTAGGTATCCAAGTGCTTCAGTTAGAATATTTCAGCCACTTAAAAATATTTCTTTAGAAATATTTCATATCAAAGTATTTGAGAGTTATGATGTGAAAATGCATACATATCAAACCTATTTAATTATTTAAATGTATTTTGTTAAATGTATTATGGCTGCCCACTCCAGAAGATTCCTTGAGGCCATAATAAAAAAGATTCTGCCCCAATAATGACAAATCTCAATGTTTTAGGGATTCGTTCTGAAAAAATGTACAGAAGGTTTGATTGAGGAAAACCAAGCCATATGATACCTAAGGTGGCGCTCTGTGGTGAACTTGACATCTTAGTGTAGAACCAATTCAGTATTAGTTCCAGGTGCCTATTTCTGTAATTCTGTAAAAATATCGGTATTTTTCACTTGGTAATCTGAGGATATTATCCAAGCATAGCTAGTTTTATCTTATAATTTATACTGATGTTTTTATGCATGATCCTCTCACTCTCTCAGCAAATATCTCATATCATCTTGAGTTGATGAGAGCAAACATGAATTAGGTTCAACCCACAAAGTTAAGAAAGAGCTTTATAAATGCAATCTGACATTCCTTTAAAACTATGAATTTTCACACCTTAACAACTTTGATATAGATTCTCTGACCCAGCCAGCACTGTTACACTGAAAGTGAAGTCTCTTGATTCCTTTTGCTACAGCAATATGAAAAGCAGCCAAAAATTCACCCATAACTGCCCACACTGTTATTTTTCCTCTTACTTAAGGGCCGAGAATGCTAAGACTGCTAGCTAGCCAAGATAAGAGGCTTTGCAAGCAATTTTCCAGTATATTTTAGCCTTTTCCCCCCTTTCTTCAGAAGATAGTTCTCTTCTCTGAAGATCTACAGATAAGACTACCTTATTATTAAGATGCAGCCATAGGTGTCTAGTAGAAGCCACAATGATATTGCTTGCATCACGACATCATCAAACAAGGACACCATGACACCCATACCTCGCTTGCCCCAAAGCCCACTACTGTAGCAAAACTGACCTATAGAAACCACATTGTGGTTGTGGCAGTCACTAATAACTCACAGGGAAAAACAGAATTCAAATGCTGCTCAGCGTCTGTACAACCTCCTACATGACCCACTTTCTTTTTTACAAGGCAATGCTTCTTAAATATTTTAGAGCAAAACGGTGCAATCAAAACATTGAAAAGCAACTGTTTGACCAAGTACTAGAAATGAAACAGAAATAGTTTTAAGCTTATATTTATATCATTTAAGCACACAGCCATTAAGTTCCCTTATGGGCCCCATTAAAAAGAATCGGAGAGGTACATCTGTAATGAATCCAGACTCGTACACGTGATTCTTCTATCAGCAATCTAAAAACATAATTTCTTTTAAATAATTAGCAAAAGAAGAACATGGACTAAAAAGGAAACAGACTGTAGAAACATAAATGATGGATCCACATAAACTTCACTTAAAACCTTAGCATCCTGGAATGGTATCCAGAGATTTCTCCCTAAATGCCTTTTTAGCATTCTTTTGTAATTTTGCATGCATTAAAGGTTTATGTCATCCTACAAGAGCATAATTTTCTTGTTTCTCAAACAAGGCAAAATGGGAGCATTAAGACCCCCAATCTCTTTGACTACTGTTCATCAGAGACACGGATGGTTTATAATCAGCACTGATATGTCCCATGTTTCTGGGGTGAAGCAAATTAATAGCCTTCCAAAAAACCAACTCTCTTCTGCTTGATTATACATTGGAAATGTTAGCTTTGCAGTTAAAGATTATGTATTTGCAAGCCTGTCTTTGCACATCATGTAGAGTTCTGCCACCGTGCATTGTACTTTGATGTAATATGCACCACTATGATAGATGAGAATACGGTAGTGAGCTGGCAGGCGTATCCACAGGACATAGTCAGAAGAGTCAAAAGGGCAACTACAACAGTGTGATGATGCTCCACCTGTTTTCTATGTGCAACGCACATAAAAGTGGGCGGGACTTTGATGGCAGCATCATGGCTGCTCTCTTGACCTTTTTGACCACACTTGCGGACACCCCGGCCAGCTGGAGTGGACACTGGAGGAAGGCTCACAAGAGATTACAGACAGCCTACAGGAAACCAATTCTGCCAGAATAGAGTATTCGTTCAATAAAAAGTTTAAGAATAACTGAAGGATTAAAAGATGAAATGATGTATTAATTTTTCCATGGACAACTTGACCCAGTTCAAAATACCTGCCATTCTAATTTGTTGAGGCTACTTATATAAATGTTAAAAAGAGCTATACTAATAAGTTCCACCTACCTGTTAACTTGATATGTCCTGCTTCATCAAGCAAAATGCTGAAAATTAAAATTCACATTCACCAATGCACATAACAGGAATATTTGAATAAGACAATTGAGCAAATCAGAACGTTGTCAGTATTTAAATTTGTTTGATTAATTAATTATTTTCTTAAAACAGATATTTGGAAAAAAAGAAGAGTATAGCTCTTCTGCAGGGATTCTCTATTTATTTTACGGCAAATACAAAGAAGGTTTAAATAAGAATACTGTAGTAGTGGATAAAATACATTTTACTTTACTTTTCTGGCTTCAAGTCCCTGTATACAATTCCCAAGCTGTGCAGATGATCCAAAGCTAGAGCCAGTTCTGCGAGGTAGAATTTCACATCTTCCTCTGTAAACATAACCTAATAAGAACTATATAGATTTACATTCCGGTCTCGTTACATTTCTGTATATCAAAAGACGTTAGCAAATCCCATAATGTTTAAAGATCTGTGATATGGATTAACTAGTAGAGTACAGGATGTTCTCCCTAATCCAGCTGAAAATGCACATATACATCTTCAAAAAAGACAAACACTGGTCCTACTAGTTCCCAAAGGGTAAATATTCAGAGTGCACCTTCTGCTGCTCCTCATCAGTGACAAACGAATGATCAGAAGGGAAGTGGAATAGTGGCCTCTGGAAGGCCAGCAGAACACCTAGTTCCTCTGCATGAAAAGAAGGTTTGAATGCAGTCTAGAGACCCTTCACTCCCCACTTCCCATTCCTCATCTCTCCAGGATGAAGAAATATTCAAAAAAGGTTCTTGCATGGCTGGGAACTAAAGGAAGTAGGGAGCTGCCTAAAAAGATAAGGGGTTTCTAATGCCTAAACAAAATAATTTCCTATAAAGATGATGGTGGTGGGTGATGATGGTGATGAATGATGATGGTGATTTATAGCTACCCAGCTCCAATGGACAGGTGGCTATTAATGCAACATAAATATCTTTTCACATAAACATGTCAGAACACAGCTTTTTTACAAAATTGTTGTTTAAAAACCAAGCAGGGGGAAAAAAGGAAGGGCAAATACAGCACCCATATGCTTGTTAACAAAACCAAAGTTCAACCCCCAAAATAAATAAAGGCATGACCCATCTCTCTTGATGTCGAAGCACGTATACAGCTTTTCATGTTCTAAAAGGGAGTTCTGAACACACACAAAAGCATATTTTTGAATTGAATAATTTTAATATGCAAACTATGCACGTCTACCCACAAATAAGTTATACTGTGCTTCATGGGGCTTCCTCCAAGGTAAGTGTCTATACTGAACAACATTCCGCTTATTGCTCATTAAAAGAAATACAGCCACCGCAGAAGATTTTTATCTGCTAATTAAAGATGTCAGCTTCTTTATTTGTTTGTATAGCATTCAGGCTATCACCAGACCTCGGTCACAACCTCCCTGCATAACATTTATTATATTTTTGACTCTTGTAATTTGAGACGCCCACAGTTGAAGATTCTCTCTAGAATTATTGTCTATTTCAATCCAATCTCATTTACCTGAACAAGATTATTTAAGTATCTCAAACAATTCCAGATGATGGGAAGGTCTCCAAGATTGGGGGGGGGGGAAGCAAGAGCCAACCGTTAAAAGACAAAACTCTGCAATTAGCTGAACTTGATCGGAGCACGCAAAACAATGAACGCAGCGCCCGTCGGTGACTCATTAAAGCAGCCAAATAATGTGGTTTTTGCACTCCAGTGTGCTTTGAAGCATCTCTTCTTTTAGAATCCCTTCTAAAAGACATTTCTCATTCATGGAAAAAAAGACGTCCTTGCCCACGTAGCGAGAAATGCATTACTTATTAATATATTTGACCTCATTGTGTTCTTTACGCAGAAACCTTTCATTTGAGTGGAAAAAAACATTTCAAAAACCAGGCACTAGGATAATTTTTATGTAGTCACAACAGTGTAGGAGGTATCTATTTATTAAATTCTGCTTTTTCTCCAGGGAGCAAAAAACAGCATACCAAATTCTTAACTTCAGGACCATTTTATCCTCACGATTTGGAGGGGGCTTAGGTTAAGAGACCTTAATGGCAAGTTGATCCAGTCTCTTCACTGCTGAATAGTGACAGAGAGTCAGATTTAGGCAAGGAGAACCAGATTTGAAACTAAGCTATAGAATGGATGGATCTGCACTAGTCATCATTTCTGAGCATAACTTCCTTCTCACGTGGATGTTGAAAATATAAAAAGAGAGAAGTGAGTACTTGGAAGAAAAGGCAAGGATAAAAATTAAATATAAGGCAATCACTTCACTCTAGTATTGATTACGTTTTAAAAGGTCCATAAATACGTACCTCTTTGGATAATCTTGTGAACACATCTCCTCCCCTGAGAAAATCCAGTATTAAATATAGCTTCCCTTCGGTCTGAAAGGCTGGAAAGATCAGTCATAAAATATGAATCAGTTTTGTAGAACAATAGAAATATAGCATATACACAATACTAAATAATGCATTCTAACCTCAGGAGACACGTGGAGCCTCTAAACTTTAACTACTCAAGACAAGAGGAATCAATAGCATTCTATGAAAATTTGGCCAAAATACCAAATTGATATCCACATATTCAGGTATCACTCGAAATGGTTTATTAGTATCTAATAGCATTACACTAAGTGAGGTAGCATTTTTGTGTATACTGTGAAGTTTTGTACTATTATATGCACTGAAAGAACTGCAGCTGAAAGCCACGTGGAATAGATTCACAATACCTTTATCTCTTTTCATATTAACTTATGGAGAAACTTCAACTTGAATTCAATTGAACATTATTAGGACAGATAAAATATAAACAACAAACAACCTTCAGAGAAATTGTACTCCCATCTAGTCATGTTGAAGTGAAAATATCACATTTAGCATTCCATGCTAATATGGGATTATGGGAGCAACTGACGGCCCATAATTAACTAAGCAGAGCATTCATCTCTCTATATATAGAGAGAGAGCAAGGAGGAGGGGGGAGAGAGACAAAATCTATCTGACCCTAAACTGACTTTTTTTATTTCTTTGTCGCCATCAGGATTACCTAATGGGCCAATCCAAATAATTAATTAATATTTCAGATACTTATGATGTTTCCCTTTGCCCCCGGATACCCAAGGAGAAAGGCAACACTGACAGAATTATTAGAGTAAAACCAGAGCATTCATCATAATAAAATCAATAAACCGTAAAAGTATTAAATTTCAGTAGACCAATATTGTTTTCAACACCCACTTAAAGCAAAATGAAGAACAGAGTTGTCTACAGAAGGAATTCCATAATGGTAGTATTGCTACAAGAAAGACTGTATGTTATATAGCCATCAACCTAAGTTCTCCACATGTTGGGGCAACAGCAAATTGGCCAACGAAAGAGGCCAAAGTTGGAATGATTCCCAAGAGACAATATACTTATTAATGCTATTTGCTGGGGAGTAAGAGCAGAAGTGGGTATTGTTGTCAAGTCCATTGTTGCTATTAGCATCAAGAACCAGGTGCCACACTGGATCGGTCTTCAGTGTGATGCAAAGAGGCCAATATTCTTTAGAAGTCCAGAGGAAACAGTTGCCAAGTTGGCAGCCCAGAACACATCTTCACAAGTCACTCCTTTGGGCTTGCCATCTCTCAATTAAGACATCCACTGGGATTAGCAACTTGTGTACAAATATGAGATGCACCCTAATGGGAATGGGCAATTTATTCTTACTCTGAGAAAGGGAAGAAGGATTTGTGTAAGTTGTCTGAAAGTAATTTAAAATGAGGGAGGGGAACATCCAACTAGTAGAAGCTTTAGAAAACTGTTAAAGCAAAATACCCATATTTAAATGAATCCAGTTTCACAGAGATCAGTTAAAAATATCTGGTTAAATGGCTTGTGGATCACAATCACACAATATAAAGTCTGTTCTGCTACCACACTACTAGATGTAATTGAAGCTCCAGAAATGAAGACACTTATGTGATAAACCTTGATCAAAGTCACACACAAAATTACTCACCATAGTGCAGTTTGACAATAAATGGATGATTTACTTCTACTAATATATCTCTCTCCATCTTTGTGCGAACTCTATCTCGAACTGCAAACAGAGATAACAAATTTCCAAGAATAGTGAAACCAAATGCAAATTCACGCCTCTTACAATAAGTACAACCTACAAAGGATTTTTATGAACAAATTTCTACTGGTCACTCTGCAGAAGCGTTCCACTGATTTCCATGGAGATTACATAGGAATGTCAAGTGACCAGGCCCGTCCAACCATCAAAACCACCAAAACATCATGAAAAAGTCACAACTGCAGTATGACTCACTAGTATGGCATATTCATGAGCTGGTGTCAAGTTTTCACTGCGTCATTTAAAACAGCTGCTTCAAAATTATACTATTGGTAAAAATACAACTGAAATGAGCATGACTTCTGATGACTACATAGGAATATCATTTTTGTTTTACTCATACAGATATGGAAGTGGTTGCCATTGTCTTCTAGAGTCTAATCCATTCCAATTGTAACCAGGATTCTCGCTTAGCTTCTTGAGGTCAGCCAAGGTCAGCCATATGCTGCCACTTACCAACGTGTAATACAGGAATGATTTCATGTGAATCTAGTTTAGACATTTTATCAATGCTGGGAATAAATCCTAGAATAAATGTTGCTAAGTAAATGCTGATTCCCTTTCATTTTACATGGTCTAAGCCAGTGTTGTCCAAACTTGGCCACTTTAAGATGAGTGGACTTCAACTCCCAGAATTCCCCAGCCAGAATTCTGGGAGTTGAAGTCCACTCATCTTAAAGTGGCCAAGTTTGGACAACAAGTTTGGTCTAAGCAGTCACTACTACACCCCTGTGATTAGACAAAGAGGTTTTTTGCAACAGGGACTGATGACAGGACTAAGAAATCTAGAATCAGCTGGGTTAATGAAAAAATCTACCATAATGAAATTACTTGCTTCCATATAAACAGCAAGTCATATGCACAGTATTGAATTTGTATTTACAAATTCATTCCTACAGATATTACTGCTCAAATGCCACAGCCTTCAATGGAATTTATCAACACCTTTAAGATAAGGACGATTATTAAGCTATAAACGGTTATATTTCACAAATAAAAATAAACCCAGAATAACTAATGTTTGAAACTTTTTTTTTAATCAAGCATACCTTTCAATGAAGCCTTCTTCAGAACTTTCATTGCATACAGATGTCCAGCATCAGGACCAATTATTTTTCTTACAAGGAAAACCTCAGCAAACAAGAAAGATTAAATATTTTACAAGACATTACTAAAGTACACATATATCTTGTGTAGTCCAACAAACTTCTTTCTGGTGACCGAAAAGATTCAGATAACAGTCTCTAAATGAGCTGATGTAAGACATGCTATGAAAGTCTAGAATAATACATCTAATTCCTTGCATGCCGGTTTTTTTTCCAAAATCCCAATTCTCCAAGCTTAATTCTATAGAAATAAAATATTCCACTCCAAGGAAATACTATGCAATCCTATAATGATACAGCCTAAAACTCTGCAAATTTGATGATGTCACTTTTCAGTATGGAAACACCAAAAAGATAACCTACCGCCAAGTTCCTTGGTGCGAGAAAACATCACCTCCCACATCTAAAACTTCAATATAAATTTTATTCACTTATTCCTTAAATCAGACTTCCCCAACCTGCAATCCTTCCAGATGTGTGGGCTTAAACTGCCAGGATTCCCTAGCCAGAGAGGCAGTTGCTGAGAATTCTGGAACTTGGTCCATAGAATTAAACAATCTTTAGTACTTTCTGGGTTCGCTGTCATTAAAATCAAATGCTGAACCGGAAAGTACAGATCTTCCAAAAGATTAAAAGCCACTTTTAATCTCCTTAAGAATTAAGCAATGATTTAACCAACACCAGTACAAATCTAGCACTGCATGGTGGTTAACACTGAAACCAGAGAAGAAAAGAAGGCATTAGGTACATGATGAAGAAGAGAGAAATAGTTAATTGTTTGTAGCTATTTAGAAAGAGAAGTATAAAACTTTATTTTCCTATCACAAAAGGCTCTGGAGTGCTTTGGATTCAAAAACTTAAAGTTGGTCACACTTGTAGGCAACTCTTTAAAGCAACTACATCCTTTTCCTTGATTGCATCACTACCCTCCACAGCTGCAGAGCAATCCTAGGAAAAGACACATTTTGTTTAAGGAATGCAGATAAATGCTATCCTACCGTTCCCAGTGCACTCCAAAAGAACTTTCTGCCTTCAGATTAACTTTCCTGAAATGTATAAACCTATTGCAAGCTTTATTAAATGCAAGAGGTAGATTTGCAAATATTATGGTACATAAAGCTAATCGAGGTAGTAGGTGAGTGTGGAACAGGAAAAAATCTTTTAACTTTCGTTGTAAAGAATCTAGGACCTCTATCCCAAAGATTCACACATTTTAATGTTTCAGCAATGGTGCAACAGATGAACACACATATGCTTACAGGCTGTTTATATAGTTTTTAAATTCTGATGGCTGATAGTTTATACTCAACATAGCAAAGATGGTTTTTTATCTTCTTACTTCCTTCAAATGCAAAGTATTCTAATTTTCATTTAATGTCTGAAAGACTGTTCATATAATAAAATCTCTGGTGACAGAGAGCAGGGAAACCTACTGAAGCTCTTAGAGGACTTACTGCATTAAATTCCCCATCACTTAAAAGCACTATTCTTGTATCTAGTACAAGAACAGAATCAGGGCTATATAGGACACCCAATGCAACATTTAAAATAAACATGATTTCTTTTCATCTTTACCTTTCCAAATGATCCTTGACCAAGGACTTTAAGCAATTCAAATTGTGCAGGATCTGCTTTTTCACATCCTTCTTTTACATGATGGGTAATAGGTATCTCTTTGACACTTCCTTCATCCTATAAAAAAAGAAAGAAAAGCTGCTAAGAATGAGTGCCACGTTATTTAAGATATCTGTACCCTGTTTGTTACCTGGAAGGTTCCTAAAGCAGAGTATCAATAGTTGTAATGGATATTATTTATATTTTATGATTGGTAACAAACTTAAAGGTGAAAATGCCTGTGGTAGATCTAATGCTATCACTTTTAAGGCAAAGGGAAGTGGGGGGTTGGAACGCTGCTCTTAATTATACTTATGATCAACTGTGTCATACATATTTTTCACTGAACAACCAACTAGAATCACTAGCAAATACAGAAACGCTCATCAAGCATTTTGTTGGATGAAGCAGGACATAACAAGGAAGGAAGATGGTGCTGATGAGCTCAGAGGACAATCTATTAGAAATCTCTTTTGTACTGGTAAAATTGCATAGTAAACTATACTTTGTTCACAAAGAAAAGCAAATTGTAGTAACCCTTGAACTTGCACATCGTAGGCAGAGGACTCCAGAAGCTTCTGTTTTCTACTTTTTCTTGTCTACAACTTTGTTGTGTCATCTAGGTTGACACGATGTAGTTAATCTCACTTATGGTTAGTTTAGAACAAGCCTATTTCCAATTCATGATTTATTCCTGATGTCTATTTGGTGCTCTTGTAGACTTATATGTCTTAATAAAGAGTTAGTGTTTGCATTAGTACCTAACAGTACTGGATGACTCAATGTTTAAATCCAGCCAGTGAGTCAGATCATCCCTTTCATTATCATTTATACTGAATGCAGCAGCTTTCCACCATTCCAGAGGACTCTGCAAACTCTCTCTTGGAGAAATTAGAAACTGAATTTGGGATTTTTTATATTTCATAGCTATTGAGCTATATTTTCCATATCATGAGAATGAATCAGATTGTGGAACTACTCTCTATTATCTAAAATTTTAGGACCTTGAAAGAATTCCCGGGAGAATTCTGCTCTTAAAATTCTCAATGGCAGAATGTTTCTTCTATCTGCTGAAATCATCTTTCTTGTAAGGAACCAGCAGCTCCCTGAATTAGCCAAGGAGAAATAAGTTGCTGTTACTTTGGTTCCAACCACACCACAAAACTTTTCCTTGGGGAACCTAAAGCTAGAACCTGGGAATATTCCACAGAAGTATCAGTAGAGTTTGTATACACAATCCTCAGAGGCAGTTTGAAAGATCTGATGGGGCTAGAATAGCCCTGTTACTTTTGCAAAAAGTACCTACAGTGGTACCTCAGGTCACAAACACTTCTGTTCATGACCAATTCGGGTCACGAACAGCACCGTTCGCAAAATTTTGCTTCCGTTCACGAAAGCTGGATCAGGTGACCAACAGGATCCGCGGCCATTTTCCCTGCCGTGACACGTGGTCATGGCTTGCTGTAGGGAGAGGGACTCTCCCTCCAAGCAATAACCGCCTCCCCACCCGCCTTCCTGTCCTCCACGCCAGAAGTCGCGTCGAGCAAGGTTAGCGTTCTCTCTCTTCGTACTGTACGTTGTGTCATATTTTTGTGGTTTAAAAAAAAAAATACATATGGTTCAGAACGGATGGACCGTAATTACATTGAACCTTATGGGAAAATTGGATTCGGGTCGCAACCAAATTCGGTTGGCGAGAAAATTCGTAGGGGTCAGAACGGATTAACCGTAATTACATTGAACCTTATGGGAAAATTGGATTCGGGTCGCAACCAAATTCGGTTGGCGAGAAAATTCGTAGGGGTCAGAACGGATTAACCGTAATTACATTGAACCTTATGGGAAAATTTGATTCGGGTCGCAACCAAATTCGGTTGGCGACA